TCTCGGCCCCTTTTAAAGAACCCAAGCAGAATAAGCACAGGACACCCCCTCCCCAAAAAAACTGCTGTACCTGCCCATCATTTCTCTCTTCCATTTTATTTCCTTGCTATACAAAGACACCTGTCATAGCATTCTGTGTAAATTACTACCTCTCCCAGGACCTGTATCTACAGCCAATCTTCTTTTTACACTTAAAAAAAAGAAAAAAGGAAAAAAAAAAGAAAAACCCGGAAACCAAATGACTACTGTAGACACTCTTAAGTTCCCTGTCAATCGTTTCATTATAGCAGCATCATCTGTTTGAAAATATAAGCAATTCCCTCATCTAATTATAGGGAGGATTTGAGGTTCATTAACATTGCCAAGGCAGAGAATCAGATGTGCAACTGCAGAGCTGTGCTTAGTGGCCTGCATTCTCTGTTTCCTTTTATTTGCTTTCTCAAGGTCTCCAAGACTTTTTCCTGAAACCATAAAAGTAATTCTTTCCTTCCAAATAGACACGTGTGTTTAGAAAAAGGAAATGACTGCATTTGGTACTGCTCTATTATTGGGGGAGGTCACTGGAGAAAAATAATTTAGCTAAATCTTTTTTATCTCTGATTCGGGAGGAAAAAAGGAATAAAAGTAAGCAAGTAACCTTTACTTTTGGACAACAGATCACAGGATACCTCACATTTTTCTTATAATTTTAAGTGTCGCAAGGTAATATGGATGAATAGGAAACCTAACAGGTCAAGAGAGGCTCTTAATTTTCAACACATTTTGTGGCTGTTTATAGATTAACGTGCTGGCCAAGTGTAAAACGTTGCCTTGTATTTCCTAACTGTGTTTAGAAACCGAGAACACCAAAGTCTTTATGATTGCTTCACTTCCTTAAAGAAATAATAGCATTTTTTTTGTGTATGAATGTAGTTTAAACAATGACATTTTCTTGGGACATCTGTTTTGAGATCACATTTTGAATAGATATGAACTCATTTCCTACTAAGCAAGTAATTTACTATTGTTGATAGTTGTTTACAAGTTCTATGAGTCAGATTTTAGCAAGTGGCAAAGGTCTTTACAAAGCCTTTAAGTATTCCCTGGGCTGTATGCATAGTGTTTTCATTATACAAAGTCTTAGGGAAGCAAAAGCATAGAGATGGTTCTTTACTTCTTACCAAGTTATAGATAGCAACGCCTAGCTCACAGAAATGATTTTAAATATATTTACTTTTAAAGGCTTCTTTCTCATACTGCCTGAGGTTAATGAAGTATGATAGCAGGGCAGCAAGTACTTAAGCAGCAAGGAAATAATTGAGGTGCTCTACCTATCCATACCTTTGGAGTATCAGATGACAAATATACGACTGATCCTAATATCATCGTTAAGATGTTAATATGAGAAAGAGCAGAACCCCTCAATGAAATTTAAAGTTTGACCTTGTCACTCTCTTTCGTTTAATTCTGTAATTAAAAAAAAAAAAAAGTGTAATCTTAGAAACAGGATTGTATTTTGTTTGCTGCCATACGGAATCCATTTTTTAAACAAAAAAATAGTAATTTATCTATCCTGCATGTTGTATGTAGAGTTGCCACTAAAAAGAACCCAGGACATTTTTCCTTCTTATCTGCAATGTAGCTCATATCAGCCAAGCTGTCACAAGACAGAACTTGATATAAACAAGAGATTGCAAAGACATCTCAGTAATCAATATTAGGATGGCTACAGTATGGAAGCCCCAACCACTGCATATCATTTGTCTCAGCATCTATTTCTATGACCAAATGAAGCATTAATTCAAATCATAAATCTATGGTGATTTAAATCTGGGAATGAGCACCTGCCTGCTTTAATGATTTATTTTGTACATTTCAGTAAGCAGGAGATTTGTCCATATGAACTGACAGGTCACCTTCAGATGCCAGTAGCAGACTGTTTATCACCATGCAGACTAGCATCTCATCTTAGCAAGTAAATATTAAACTAAAAGAATCCAATTGATTGTGGATGGGGGAGAAAGGCGTTGCAGCCATATATTTTACTCAGTGTGCTAATACCTCACTCGGATTCTGCTGTAATTTCTTTTTTTTTTCTTTTTTTTTTTCCCCTTCTAAAATGATAATTCTGGTGGGAGGATGCAAGCTCAAGGTTACCATGCAAAACTCAGGATATAAAATAATTACTTATTAGTATCATTGGCTTCCTTTAACTCCCTTCACTCGATAACCTTTTGGCTGTTGCTTCAAAGGACCAAGTTAATAAATTTGTGTAGTGCTCTGCATAATTATACAATGTTCATCTACAAAAATGACTTCTATAAGTCACATTAAGCATCTGATTAAAACCAAAAAAGCAAGACAATTTGGAGGTAAAGCTGACGGTTCAACGCAAGAACCCATACCTCATTTATACTCTTTTGCATAGGCATAGAAAAAGGCTAACAATAAGGTATGATCATTTCATGTACAGTATCGTACCATAGTGCTTGTTATAAATGGGTTAAAATGTATTGATTATGCTTTTACCCTGTATTTTATTTTTTTCTTCAGTTTAGGTAGGGACATAACATAATTTAAAATACAAACTAAGATTGCATTATTTTCTTTTGTTCTTTCCACCTGTCAGGACTCAATAACACAAGATTTCAAATTCATGCTTGAAAACCCATAATTTAATTCACTAATGATATATGGACTTGAGAATATTTATGTGAAAAAATAAAAATAAAAATTTGAATAAAATCCAACTAAACCTGCATACCCACACCTACTATAAAGCAACAGTTTTGAAATAAGGGTTTTTGCCAGTATAATATAATACGCTGATTTTCAAAAATTCAAATAGTAAGTACAGACTAAACTCTTTCTTACTGAACTTAGGAATATCCTGGCATTACTACTCGTAGTCATTACTTTTCTGATTCCATAAGCATAAACAATACTGGATACTAGATGGTGACCACTATGAAAGAAACAAATACATACAAACTGTTTTTTAAAGATAACCTCAATAGGAACGGTATAGTTCAATTTCACATGCACAAACATATTGCATGTCCAGAGATATTCTTCATGGCATGGAAGTAATTGGAACACTATTCACTGTACTCAAAAATTTAATTTTTCTGAATAAAATGAACTCAATTCTTCATCCAGTTAAATCAGGTACAGTAGGTTTAGGTGGCTGAAAGGAAATTTTGACAATTACAGTAAATAATCTTACTTCACAACTTTGCACTACGAAAACGTGACTTGAATGACCTGAATATATTTTCTTAAATAGGTAAAATGATTAACCTGTATAATAGTAGATTAACTAAGTTATGACTGAAAGAATGATTTTAAAATCATTCTTTTTTCTTTTTTATTCAGATTAAAATATGCCTTCCATCCACTGTCCTACAAACACTTCATTTGGTTTACATGTTGCTCATCTGTTAACTTTACACTGCCATAGATGTACAAGTGCCTCAGGACTGCCAGGCAGAATAACAGCTCCATAATTCAAGATCTGAACATTTTATTTCACATATGGATGCCTCTAAGTCTCAAATTCAAATCTCAAGTAGCTTCTAATTCTGTTTAAGTCTCTTTATCCTCATAGTTTGTATTTATATCCTTATTCTTTCTCATTACTTCACTTTTCTTTCAGTATGTTATAAGGGCCACCTGGTCCTTCCAGTCCATTTGTACCCATCAGGTCCTCTCAGATTTCAAACACCTGCTCTTTATTCACTCTTGCCTTCTTTCCAAGAGGACAGTTTTTCCACAAATATTCTAGTGACTGCATGTGTCGGTATCTGAGCACTACACAACTTTAAGACCTTCTCTTCACCCTAGAGGAGCACCTTTTTAACAGCTTTTCCTTTACAAGCAAAACAAAAATCTGACATTCACCTTATGTAGTAATGCATAAATATTGTTATTGTTTAAAATAGTTATGCACCTAGGTGAAGTTATTCTTTGAACTGCAATCCACATCATTACTTCCGTATAACAGAAGGGCAGTATCTACTGAACTATATAGAAACACTGTTCATAAACTCATATCTATTTATGTTAAGGATAGTGCATAATTATTATCTTTAAGACTAATTTCAAAAGCATTTCAGAGATGAAAAATTAACAAATAAACAAATAGAAAAAGAAGAATTGTAAAAAATCCTATCTTAAGTCATTTTTTTCCTATATACACCAATCTTGACTGCAGTCTTCTGAACATACCTCTTTGTCATTGAATTTCTGTTGCTGAGTTAATACTGTCTCAACATGATAAAAGGAGCCAATACAATGAAATGGCATAACGAAACATTTTACAGCAGACACACACAGATGATTAAAGATTTAATCAACAACAACAAAAAGTTACTCTAGCTTTGAAGTATGCTTTAGCAAAACAAATTGGCCAAACAAATGAATAAAGTATACTGAAACAATTCTTTTTGAGAAAGAACATGAGTTGCTGATGGCTGCTTAAGAAACGGAAAAACCTGTTAACTATATTTTAAGAGTGTGTTTATTAAAATAAAATATGTTAGGAACTGCAGAGCATGGCAATAATTTATTGTGTATGTATGTTTTCCTTTTGTCACAGGGCGCATGAAAGTATGAAATATTTTGCTTTCAAGCTTGTGTTCTGAATTACCTAAAGTCGATACCCAGCACACTGAGCAGGAGACATTGTTAAATTTCACTTTGACACCATCATCTGTCACCCCACCTGTACTTTGAAAAATGAACTCTAAGCAATCAAACCACTTTCTTTCATAGCAAATATTAACTGGAGTCTGCAAAAGTAACCTGCAAAGGAAAGAATGGTTTTGTAATAGTAACAACAATGCCGAATGCTATTGTAAAGGTCAGCCACAAAATAAACCTAAAAACAATAAGAAAAGAAAAACAAATATGCAATAATTTACACCAAATCAAAGACTTCAGAAGAAAGTCCAGAAGGATCACCTTTTTAATAAGATATCATAGCATTACTAAAATGTAAAAATACCATATCTGAGACTTACCAACACTTGAATTCAGATCTCCATTTTCAGAGTCTGCTCCATGCTGGTTATTATTTGCATGATAGTTGGACATAGCTTCCAATTTAATTTTTTTCACTTTCATTGCTTCTGCTATGGCGGCATTGGTGGCAGCTGCTGCTGCTGCAGCTGCTGCTGTCAGGCCTACAAAGAAGTATGAACAAAACTTAATATGCATTATTCTATGACTCTTCATTGTTGTAGGGCATAAGACTGTTACTCTTCCTTCATTCTTTACTACAAAATTAAAACAGAATTGTATGGAATAGTACTCTTCTTCTTTGATTTGGAGATTATTAGCTTTTTCAAGTTTCTACTTCACATGCTTCACCTCCTATTTAGCTAATTACTTCTATACATTTTCCTAAATCTTAACTTGGTATGCAGTTACTGTAGTGATAATACAATCTCAACTAACCAGCTACAAATACACGTATTCAGAAATCCAACTTAGCTTGTAATTCATGTCTTGAAGTGTCTGACTATGAAAAGGTGAAAATATGGATAAATGCACTCAGAAAAAAAAAAAGCTCTTTGTATGTAAAATGTGTTTGCCATGTTAAAGACTATTCTATTTATGAATAGCAACTGAGATAAATCAGCCATGTCTTTCTGATTTTACACATAACATCAAAGAGATGTGGACATTCTCACAAGCTTTGTTACAGGAAAGGTTTATTAATGCAGAACATAGGTAAAACATGTATTTTACTTTTCCAAGACTTCAAGGAAGCAAAGTTTTTATCTAAGAGAAAGTATGCAAACCATTTAAACCAAAAGCCACCTTCAGGAAGCTCAAATGCTACTCCTACCAAACAAAATTTCTACCATCCAGCCACTTGCAAGAATGTTTTACATAAATAGGAAAGGTTCTCCTTTTCAAAAGCAGTTAGAGAAATTGCCCAGTAATGCCAACACTCAAAATTCAATAGTCTTTGTTCAACCTCTGCAGTCCTTAGACAGTACAAGTATCTCCTCGGACCCCTCCACACCAACCTAGGTGTTAACGGAGAGAAGTTCGGGTCAAAACTTCGCAAGAGCTACCTAGGAAAAAACAGTCACTACTCTCTGCTTACCCCATACTGTTGACCCAGTGGGCAGAGATGGAAACGAAGGCACTAAACCAGATAAGTTACATGCAATAAAGTTACCAATCCCTCCATCTCGGTTGCCACAGGATAAGAGCAGAATCTCAGGTTCCATCATTTACAACCAAAATTCTTGCCCTGACAGTGGAGATGGCTTGAAAAAAACTCAGTGTAATTAGTTTAAAGGTGTCTGCTTGACTTTCAGATGTTCATTTTCTAAGAGGTGTGAAGTGTCTTATACATCTCAGGAGGAATTAATTCCACAGCTTACTCCTCAAATGGGCCCAGGCTGCTGCCTAGCACAGGAAAACAGGAGTGTGGTTTCACAGGAAAGATCCAATAAGTAAACAGTCGCAGGCTGCTGAGATAAATGTTGCTAACACTACTGTTTTTGAGGCCCTGCTGTTGTCCCTTTCACCTCCTTAAATGGAAGATGAGTTCACTACTGCTACGTTTTGTGCTTGCACTAGGCCGAGGCGTGGGGGAGAACGCAGATGGCGGGGCATCAGGCACCCCTACCGTGCTGGGGGGCATAAGAGGTGTTTTTAAATATCTTATGTCTTGACCCAAACTTATCCTCTCTTATTTCTTTGCATGACCGCACAGAGACGAGCAAACAACTGCAGCCTCTCTACTGTCCTCATGAACAGGCTTCTAAAACCTCCGAGTGTCACCGGAATTACAAAGTAAGTGATAATTACATTCTGCACTGTCAGATCAATATTACTTAAAAAACTGCTGTTTCAGGTAGAAGAAGATATGCCAAAAGACAAGAATTCAAATCAGAAAGTGGTTCAACATGAGGCTTTCATTTTATTTTAGCTTTTGCTACTATTACAAAACGTGCATGTTCTGATCATAAAAAGGTATTGACAATAACATGGATGGTTTCCAATGATATTTTTATCTTAGAGGAAGGATATGAAGTTATACATTATACAAATTAGGTTACAGTTCTTAAATTAGGCTGCAGAAAAAGGGATGGTGCACCTCTGAACTTTGGTTTGCATCCTGTGTTCATTAAACAATGCGATATCCTATACTTCCTTTTTTATATATATATATCGCTTGCAAGCTAAAACTAGTAGCTTTAAAGAGCAATCCTTCACAGCAATGTTCAAATACGATACAACCAATAAATGCAACAGCAGGCCTCAAACTTTTGGTCGTGACAGCACTTGTAGACGAGCAGTTTTTAAGCACTTCCACGTATTAGAATAAATACCATGTTAAACAGATATTCTATTGGACTTGTGAGCCCCCTCGTAAATGTTATGTCTCAGTGGAGTAATGACCTGGTTGTAGAACTACTGGAATACAAACCTGCTTTTGCAACCAAATATATAAAAATATATACTTCAGTACTTCTCTCTAAAATAGGCCATAATGCTATTCTCTGGAGGAGGCCGTAACCTTTGCACAGGGTCTAAGAAAATAAAATACAGATTGCTTAGCTCTTGAATATCAAAATAATGCTTGTGATCATAACTGATAATTAGAAAAAATCAGAAACTGAACTTCTAACTTCATACCTTCTCTCATACAACTGAATATGTGATTGAAATGATTACTTTGCTACTACGTAGCAATTAATTTGAACTGTATGAATCTGAAATGTGTGCCTTGTACATGAAAGCATGGGTATAAGTGGGAGAAAAATCCAAGGAATAATCCTAAGTATGGTAGCTTAACCCACTTCCTCACAGCAATTCTAATCTCATGTTTTTTACTTTATTGTTACTTCTTTTGTTACCGCTTGATCGTAATGATAGAGCAATGCAAAACCTCATGCCTTAGGATCATGCATGGTGCTATACTGTGGTAAGATACAAGTCAAAACGTTCTGTCTAGCAAAGGGCCTTACTTCGCTAAAGATCTTACCAGCAAAGGTTGCCAAATAGAAACAAAAGAGATTAGTAAACTGCTAAGTAACATCTATCTGTATATTTTTAAATTCAAAACTTTAAAGTTCAAATTGACTTGAATTTTTTTAACTTCTTGTTCAAAAGAGCCTTTTGAACTAAACATTATTTAATATCACTTGACCCTTACACTAAGTAGCTAAAGAATTTCCAACTTGTACACTTTTCATTACAGACCTTTACCTTGAAATATGAGAGAATCAAAAGTCACCTAATAAGGGAACTGAAATGGAAGAAATAATAAGAATCACATTAAGGAGCCACTAAGATACTTTTTATTCTTTACAAATATTTATTTGAGAAGTTACAAAAATTTCCAAGCCAGGATAATCAATGATAGTTATCATTAATTTTCTGAAATTGATAAGTTGTTTATGTCTGGCATTCTTCCCGCTGATTATGCAGTGAGACAGGCAGCTTTATAAATATCTCATCACTCCATCGTCACACAAATTTCATCGACAGTGCTCATGCACAGCTATTAGCAATATGAATCTAACCATTACAAGAGGAAAGAAAATCGAACATGTGGCATTAATACGCAGTCCTGGTTCCTAACCATCTGATAGGCAGATGGTGTAAAGCGAATTCTCCAGCTGAAATGAAGGGGCACATCATTTAAAACCTTGTTTGCATTCTAACTGATATCAGTGCCATATTGATATACATGATACATCATGGCAGTATTTGAACAATCTAGTTTGTTTCAGTCATAAATGTTTACAGCCTTGTTTTTTATCTTTAGAAGCATGTTCTGAAGAGCGTATTTTTAATTTATGAAACCTATTGTTTACTTCTGTTGAACCAGAAGATTAGCGAAGAGCAGGAATATTAAATTACCAGAACCACAGCAGTATAACTAAGATGGATGAATAAAGTATGTTTTTTCAATAAAGGATGTTAGTAAAGGAATTAAAAAATTAGCCTAGACATTTTATGCATTAAATACATTTATTCATTTAAACCTTACAGCTTTTTTCCCATGTGACATACTTAGAACTTTAATGCTTTATAAAGCTATTCATTTAAGTCTCTTACTGTGTGCAATTAATCTTGTCCAAGAATTTAATTCAAAAAGCAAAACATCAGAAAGTAGAGTTCAATTCAACAGTCATGGCTCTGAAGTAATCTCAGTATTGCTGACAGTTCCTATAGACTCATCAGCAAAAGTCTGTTCAAGGTGTCTTGTAGGAGCTGTATGAATTTGAATTATAACTCAATTGAAAGCTCTCCAAGCCTTAGTAGAGACTCAGGAACAAGCAGCAGAACACCAAAAGAAAGTGCGAATGGTCCCCTTCTACAAAGACCTTCTCTCTTCTGTCACTAGATTACTTTGGCCTGTTGGGTGTGTTTGTAGCTGTTAATTATGTTAATAAAGTTGCAGTCTGCTGCCTCTGCCAAATATAATCATAAGCTTTCTCCTGCCAAATTCTCGTCTAATTTACACCCATATAACTCTACTGAAGTCAGAATTTCGTGGGTGAGAATGAGACCAGAAGTTAGCCCAGTATGTGTGGTCTCCAGTGCTGAAAAATGAATGAATGAAAGAGAAAACATTGACAAAAAACATAGCACCTTCAGAAAACAATTTTGTTTTTCAAGCAAAATGCTCAAGAGAACTGCCATTAGATAATGACATATTTTTCAAAAAGTATATGAATTACTGGCGGGGCTTATGTCACACACTGGGTTACTGCCATCCAACAAATACTATTCCCTGGCTTAAGAATCATCTCTTAAAACTTTTAGTTTTGATGGCTTGATCAGTTTATAACATATCCAATTTGAGGAAAAAACAAAATAAAACAAAACAAAAAAACCAAAGGCAGTGTGACTTTTTCAAAATAAACATTTTAAATTGTATGTCTAAACATGGTCCAGGGACAAATTATAAAATTATTTAAGTAACTGGCCTTAATTCACTATTAACTTCCGTCATACAACTATTCCTAATAATAACTTATTATTCCTAATTATTTTTCCTAATATTATTTTTTCTAATGACTAATTATTTTAAAAGTAAAATAATGTATATATTTTTTTCCACAACCTTTTTCTTTAGGACTTTGATAACATTTTCAATATATCTTATCTTTGCCATCACAGATCAGACAGAAAGCTAAACAAATGATTGTCAACAGTGTGTTACACTTCATTTCGTTAATTTGCCGGGAAGTTCATTCTTTAGAAATATTTTATTCACTGTGTGGGAGGAAGTCCAAATCTCATCTAAATTCTGAAGTAACGCCTTTCATTATTTCAAATTAATGCTTAATCCCTGTTCTTATAGTTTATTTCAGTGGCACTGACTTGAAAATAATTCATGTCTTTTTCTTGATTTAATTCCAGATTTCACACTGAAGCCCTTACGTGGGCAAAATCCCTACTAAAATCTGAGAAACTTGGCTGCGGTAAGAAATGCTGGGTTACCTCTTAGGACTTGCCCCTGGCCATTGCAGATCACTGCACAGGTTCCAGGGGTTTCACAGTTCAGGCACAAGTTTTTGGTAGCTTCCTACGCTGCTGCCCAGTTATTTCAAATGAAATGGGATCCTAACGTTAGTCTCTGATCTAATGGGTGTTTTATATAGTGTGATACATAAAACAAGAAGGGGAAAGCAATCTGCAGGAGGACAGAGGTCTGATTACACAGGCTGGAATTCAGAAAGGGGGACTTCAGACTACACCATAATGTTCTGTTAAAATATACTACGTTTCATTAGAAGAGTTCTTCATGTATCACGTAGGCAAATGCCTGGAATTCGACAGTTATTCAGAAATCTTATTTTTGCTAAGCTTCCTGGACTGATCCAACACAACAATATTGTTATACCCCCAAAATTCCGTTACCTGATATCTTAGGATAAACAAGAAATCCTAGCCTGGCCAATCTAGCTATATTTTGCTGCTCATTTTGCTTGGTTCAGTGCAAATTGCTCTTCCAGTCTATTCTCAAACAGCTTAAACAAGGCAATATTATTAAAAGAGTTATGTGAATAAAAGTGACATAACCAATTGCACTCTAAATATTCTTAAAGAAAGAAATGCCATATGAATTTCAGCCATATGAATTTAGACTGGTACAACTGAATGAAATTGCCAGTGTTACACTGGGACAAAACCAGTGTCTGTGAGGCTCAAACCATCTGTTGTTCATCAAAACTAATCAGACCTTTTTCCTGTAACTACTCTT